AAAAAAGACGGTGGCACACGAGTTAAGTGCTCGCCCCGTAATCGGAAGGTTGCAGGTTCGAGCCCCGCTCAGTCTGCCGCTGTCGTTGTGTCCTTGGGCAAGACACTTAACCCACCTTGCCTGCTGGTGGTGGTCGGAGGGACCGGTGGCGCCAGTGCTCGGCAGCCTCGCCTCTGTCAGTGCGCCCCAGGGCAGCTGTGGCTACAATGTAGCTCATCCCCACCAGTGTGTGAATGTGTGTGTGAATGGGTGAATGGCTGATTGTGTTGTAAAGCGCCTTGGGGGGTTCCAGGACTCTAGAAGGTGCTATATCAAATACAGGCCGTTTACCATTTTAAATACCAATTTAAGATTGGTGAAGGGCAATGCCTGTGGTTAAAAATGTGTTCATACCCTTAAATTTCCAGGTTTAATGAACACAACGGGGTTTTGTCTCATGGGCAGGACGCTGGAATGCTAGGGGGTTAAATAACAGACATGTGACATTAAGGGTCTGTTTACAGGAAAAGGCAAGGCAGCTTTCTTTATTCAGGACATTTCATACAGAGCTAGGCAATTCAATGTGCTTTCTATTAGCAAGAACATTAAAATCAATGTGGTAGAAAATACAATTAAAGGTTGAAGGGTGAGCAGATACAGTGCAGAAGGTGCAGCACAAGAACATTTATTCCAAGAGACGTTACTAGTGTTGGGCCACATTTGAGGTCATGAGCAGCATAGTAGCTAAAAGGAGACAACTCCTGAGATTTGTGTGTCTAAACGGTCTCCCTGCTCTGTAACCCTCCACAGAACACACAAGCATCAGTTTCAACAAGGATTTTAGGTATGTTGTCGTAAATGGTGGTGTTGGGAAAACTAATGTTGCTTAGGACATCTGTTTAAGGAAACGTTTGCCAAAACGAAAACGTTGCTAAAGGCAGCTGTCAAAGGTCAAAGGGAGGAAAAAGGAAAGCAGATGAGGATTAGATGAAAACCTGGAATGACATCGTTGATGAATCTGATTGAATTTCCCTCTGGGATTAATAAAGAACTTTTGAATTTGAATAAAATTTGAATTGAATCATTCACAAGCAGAATGAGAAACAGCTTAACTAGTTTAGCGTCAGATGGAGCTGTTGAAAACTTCTGAGACTTGGGACTTTTCCCCTCCATTGGGCCTTCGTAATTGCTGCCATTTTGGATTTAGTCAGTGGGCACAGAGTGGGCAGGAGATGCTAGCTCTGATCTGCCTCTGCCACAGTATGGGAGATTAGATAAGGGCTCCAGAATGAGATCTGGGGAGACAGCACAGTGCCACGGCACAGCTCTCCCCCAGGACACCGCTGGCTCCAATGACTACCATTAGGCCCCGGTTCGACCAGAATACTCATCTGTGAGAGTGGAAGTGAACGATTAGCACTCTCTCTTGTTATTCTCCACAGTCGTTCAATGACACTGCAAAAAGAACTGCAAGGTTGGACCAAATCTCTGGTTCAGTAAAGTTTTAGGAAGTGACAAAACCTCCAAGATCTCGTAAAACATCGACCCACGGGGCTGGTTCCATTCCACTCACTCGTTAAGCACCGTGAAGACCCCATGAGACCCCATGAGACCCCATGAGACTCCATGAGACTCCATGAGACTCCATGAGACCCCATGAGACCAACAAACTGGCAACTCCACCTGGACCATCCCTGTCAGGGTGAATGATGCAGGCTGTTCACCACACACGATCACATCCAAGTACACAGTTGACTGTCCCAACATACAGTACACACAAGAGTACATCAAAATACACCAAGAAGCATTTCCTCAGGGGTGAAAACAATAAAGGTTAAAGGGACCTTCCTTTATTTCTTTAAACAGCTGCAAGCAGATGTGTTAAATCTGGGGTTCAGCTGTCTGCTTTTTAACCCTCTGAGTTTTGCGTTGAATGAAGGGATGAGTTTAACCACTTCACAGAGACGAGTTTCTTTTTAGCACGGGTTAGAACATGTTTAGCTTCTCATTTAGTTGTCATCGATCATTTCGTCCTGTCCAAGTTCTTCCAACGACCGGCATCCAGATTCAGCTCCGTTCAACAGTTAAACATTGTTTATAACAGGGTTATAACTGAGGACCCTCGGAATTTGTCCCCAGCAGCGATTGCTGGAAGAGATGGCCAATTTCTGTCAAATCGTGGTAGAATGGAGAGTCTAAGAGGAGCCCTCAGTGGTTAGTGTGGGTGGAGTTTGGTTTGCTGTTAGGTGGTTAGATTCTCTTTTGATGCTTTATAGTTTAAGTTCTGCTGACGTCATGATGGTCTTTAACCCTTTGAGCTCAACAATGTCCTCCAGTTCCCCTCGGCATCTAAACTTGTGACCTAAATGTGCAACTTCTGTCTTATATATGAATATTCACACAAATCAAAGTCGTAGGCCCCTTCATTCAGGGCTAGGGCCCTGCTGTAGGTTCTCCATGAGCTGCCTGGCCCGTTGGAACAGCGGTGTCCAATCCTGACCACTAGAGGCCACTATCCTGCATGTTTCAGATGATTTTCTGCTTTGACACGTGATTTAGTGGTCGAATGATCTATTCAGTGTTTCTTTTGTTTCTTCACCATCCAGTCTTTAAAACATCTGCATCAAAGCTGGAGAACACGTGAAACATGTAAGCTAGTGGCCATCGAGAACCAGGCCCGAAGACTTACAGTATAATGGGTCATAGCCTACGCACCACACCAGGCCTGCTTCTAAATCTTAAACAACTGATCCATGCAGGCGCTTTGGGGAACCTCATCATGGCTATGCTATCGTAGTAAAGCACCATGACGTCGCTACAGACGTTTTCAGCATGCTCCAACTCATTATGTTCTACCAGACTCCATGGGGAGCAAACTGGGATTTTTAACTCATTCACTGCCAACGGCTATTAAAGTCGTCATTTGCATTTTTTTACTGTGTGGGTGTCGGACGAGCCCCCACATCGTGAGAACAAACATCCCAGCTCTAAAGCCGATCTTCATCCGCATACGTCACACGTCACGTGATCAGGAAGCAGAAAACCCATGTGTTAGGAGATCGTTTTGGGCCACTGCTGTAAAAAAAGTGAGGTGCGGACTGGACCTCCCCTGCGTTCAGACTGAGGTGACGTGCGCTGCTTTCGTGGCTGCATGCACTGACGTGTGGAGAGTCCCCAACCCTACCTCCCCACCTAGTGGACACTTATGTTGTGTGATGTCTGAAGTCTGTTGTATATCTGTCTGAGGTGTTTTTTGCAGAGCAAAGCTGCCCTCCCTGTGGAGGGTAGCTCTGAAGTGCCTTTTTTCCCTCCACCTGAACCCATCCTCATGTTACCCTCTTATCTCTGTTAAGGTAGCACGACTCGGGTTGCGAATGACCACAGTCACCTATTCTTGTCATGTGTCTTGCCCATGTATGTCTGATCTCTGAATTGTGTGTACTGAAACTCTCATTTCCCTCTGGGATTAATAAAGTATCTTTGAACTGAATTGAATTGAAAAAGCTTCTGCTGATCACAATTCATCAACGGATTATGAAAGAACGGTTAACGCTCTAAACGCGCGGATTCTTCCTGACTCATGAAAGAAGGCGAGCCTCCTCTCTGTTTTCGTTGTTTTAGCATCGACATCATCGTAGAGCGCAACGTTCTGTCACTCTTAAAAAACAATAAAAACGGTGAGAAACGACTGGCGGTGAATGAGTTAAATCCATTAAAGACCATCCACTTTCCAGATGATTTCCTTTCACTATAGCATAGTCCTAATCCAATGTGAACCTTAACTCTAGATTTAATCCCACAAATATTTTCACCCTTCATCCTCATCAAAATGTGGAAAATCTGCTCTTTTATAAACTAACACAAATCATTTAGTACGTAGGAAAGTACATTTTTACATTTATCTTTCTAAAGCTTTATAAATCTGATCTCTGACTATTCTCAGCAACACTGCGTTCTGCTGTTTCACCATGAAGCAAGCAAAACAGCCAGTTGATGGGAGGTGGATGTGAATGCACAGAATGTTTTGTTTCCATGTTGCACGAATGCCTTGTCTTTCCTTCTGGAGACAGATTTTATCTTCCACATTCATCCTTGCTCGTGTTGTGGTTTGCAAAACCATTTTAAAGGAAGCCTTCGGGCCATTTGGTCTGAAATGCTTAATTTGTGATGATCCAAATATAGACTAATGCAAATAGAGAAGTGAATGCAAACGCATCTATACACACCACTGTAGGCGTTACTGTTTCCAGTTATCTGTACTTTTCTGTAGTATTTTAGAATCAACCACCTTCAGCAGCACAAACACACACGACTAAGTCGAGGAGGCTGGCACATCGGGAACTCAAAGGGTTAAAGAATCATCACTTTAATGGGACCACATTCAAAACTTAGGACGATGCTAATGCCTTTCATTAGGCACATGAATGGCACCCAGATGGTCCAATGAGGGCGGATTAACGACAAAAACAACAGTCCCTTTAACTTTTAGTGACTTTCAGGGGAGAATCCAGTCAGAATCATACTTTTTCTCTCGTTTGGTTGCAGTTTTGATGCAATGAGTGATTAAATGAGTTCAATACAAATTCACATTCAGCCAACAAAAAACACAGGAAAGAAGCAGAAGGCTGTTTACTCGTGGTCAGGTTATTGGGGGTTATGTTGGGTTATTTGGAGGTTTAGTCTCTGAAGAGATGCAGCCCCAGTTTAAGGTGCTTTGGTTAAGATCTCTTGGTTAGAAATGGCATCACTCCTAAAGGTTTGACGTGAATTTACGGTAATGGATGCCAGCTCTAATTAAAATGCAATGTTTGAGTTTGAAACGCCTCGTTTCCAGTTAGATTTCCAGCTTTGTAAAGAAACACTAGTAGCCAGTTACGAGACGTCTTTTAATCATTTGTTTTGTTTGATAAGGAGTCAGATGAGATTTGCCCCTGTTGCATGGCACTGCACCTCCTCCAGAGCTGTGGTTACTGGCAGGTTAGGCGGTTAGGTCATTAGTGGAGTTAAAGGGATTTTATTACCTTTTTCGTATAGCCACTCGTCAACTACCCGACCATATCGAAATGGGATTCTTTGTCTAGCAAGTGCCAGGCGCTCATTATCAATGTTCCCTTTAAGAAATTTGGAGAAGACAAATTAAGAAAGGTTACAAGCAAATCTGGAAGTTGAAAAGTTAGAGGTTAGACGGGCAACAATGCAAACGTTTAGCAGGTTATGTACTTTAAATCAGCCTTAGTTAGGACAGGAAGAACTTGAGATGTTTTAGTCTGGTTTGTGCGGTTAGACAGGTTAACAACACTCTAGTTACACTGAGGTTAAATGATTTAACAACACCTACCGACAGGTTAAACAGATTTATGACTTATTTAGATGCAAGACAGGTTTAGAACTGTCTGCAAAGGGAAAGCACTTTAGAAAACCATTAGCAGTTGGGTTAAGCTAGGTGCACACAGAACCAGCAGACGGGAGTACAAGTGTGGAAGGAGAAAGCAGAACAGGACATCTGTCGGCAGTAAAACATTATTTCAAAAGGAGCAAACAGACAGCACAAAACACACGTCATGGTTGTTCTCAAGGAAAGCGTGATTTCAGTTCCCACAGCAAAATACAGAGTTATAGAGTTGTTGATGAGCAAATGGCCCCCTCAGAAGGGCATGCTCCACCCCGGAGCATCACCTTACTCTGGACCAGTCGTCTTCACCTGCAGCAAGAGGAGACGAAGTGAATCTGTCAGCACTGTTTTCTGTTACCCTGTTTTCCCTTACGCAGTAATGGAGCTCTCCTCATTGGCACTTGGCAATTAGCAGCACTTCATCAGCGTGTCAAAGAAGTTTCACCGCTGCTGTGCTAACTTATTATCCCTCACCTCACTTCAATCAACCTCGGGGTCATGCTGCCTGCATCTCCAGCGCTGTCAGTAAAAGCAGAGCTGGAAGGAAGGGAGTTGAGGGGCTGGCGGTGACCAGGCGGTGCATGATGGGAGGGGTCCATGAAGGCTGATGAAGAGTCGGTGTCACAGTATTAATTAAAGACCTCACATGTCATGCAGGAATGAACATCACCTGCTGCCTTTCATGCCACTGCTTTATCTTAAGACGCCTTTATGCTGATGCGTGGTTCTCATGGCTGCACTGGTCAAAACGATGAAATGATGCTAGAGCTCTCACAAGCTGTCAGCTGTCTGTGAATGAATCTCAGCTGATGACACGATATCAGCGCGCAGCGTTAATTATACAGCCATGTTTGTGTTGGCTTGGCTTTGGACGGCCATCTTCAACTGTACTGGATCTAAACGTCCATCAGTTCCAGACAAACACGCATTTATTTCTTCAGATATTAACGGACAGGGTAAGATGTAAGCCCAAAGTCAGACGGCTGCACGGCTGGAATAGTCCAGGAGCTACGCAGAGACGCCAAGCTACCACCAAACTAAAGCTCTCTGTTGGCAAGCGTGGTTTGGGACTACTAGCGGCAGCCATGTGGAGTTGGATCACACATCCAGAGGGTCATGAGACTGGTCTCGTGTGATCTGTGAGAGTACCTAGTAGGAACGACTCCCAGCTACTAGCACATCGAATCCTAGCTCAGCATCCGTAAAACTAGCAGAGTCAGCCGTTGTTAGCTCTGAACTGGGTGGACTTACACAGGAAACACCCTCCCACCCAGCGTAGGGAACTGTTTTTAGGCACTGACCCCAAAGAGTGGCTCAAAAATGTCCTTGTGTCTGTGAGAAGTTCTGGAGGTCCTCCAAAAAGAAAAACATTCAGGATTATTTCAAAGTACTGAAAATTATTTGATATTTTAAATGAAAATTTTAAATAATGGTGTGCCAGAGAGCGAGATGCAATCCAGATGACAGGAGTGACTGTGGGATGAGTAGAGAGGAGCTCTGAGCCTTGTATCCTGCGTCCTCTCTGGAATATACTCGGGTTTCCCCCCCCCCCCACCCCCCCACCCCGCCCCTCCACAGCCGTTGCTGCAGCACAGATCTAAAATAGACCACCTCTTGCTTCTGCAGTACCTCCTTCCCCTCCCCAGGGGTCTCTCTACCCACGCCTGCTGGAGCACACAGCTCACACAGAAACCGGAGCTGCGTGCACGTCATACATGAAGACACGCAGCTGCTCATGCGTGAAGAAGAAGGGCACCTCGGAGGAGATGATGAGAACTTAATGGAAAAAGAAAGACAGAAAGGTGGAAGGCTGGGATGAATGGTCTGTGGCACATGGATGGAAGAAAGTGTTGCACAAAACCAGCCAGGTAGGGTTCTGACACGATGGAACAGGCCAACAGAGCACGGGACCACATTTTATTTGTTGTTCATCATTTCCCCACGCAAAGGCGTTCATTCAAAGTAGAATCAGTTCTTGTTAAATCTCCACTTGTTCACATTGACTGGAAGCCTCGGTGATAAAGCAGCCGTTTGGACGCAGACTCACCTTTTATTCCTGCTCTGCCTCTGATAACACATCATGTTTTATTCTTTTCTTGAAACACAATTTGCTCCAAATGACAAGAAAACCATAGAAAACCAGTTACAGGTGTGTTTCCACACGGCACGTAGGATAAGTGTGATTGTGCTCAGCTTTCTGGAAAAGCAGCGCAGCAATTACGGCGCTAATACGGGCCTGTTTTCGTAATGACCTGGGCACTCTGCTGCAATCACTAAACTAGAGAGGGAGAAACAGACGCTGCTGGCAGCGGAGGGAGAAAACAAGACGGGTGTGGCGGTGGCGGCGGTGCAGAAATGTGCTCGATAACAAGGAAAACAGAGAGAGTGGTCACTTGTGAGAGGAATCAATCCGGAGTGTGTATGTGCTCCTGCTGCTGCACACCTCCGACTAAATCTGCTCTCTGCTCTGAGATTCTGATGGTGCTGCTTCTAATACTTCACACACGGCTCATTAGATCACCCCCTAGTGTTGAGGGTTCAGCGCTGCACGTAGACAATCTCCCGTCTACAGAAGTTATTCATTTTTTAATTCCCACCATTCTTTCCTGAATCCATTTTCCTTGTCTTGATGTCTAATCCTTTCCTTTTAGCTCACTTCCCTTCCTTCCCCTCGGCCTGTCCCTCGTCTGCTCTTAAACAATCACTCATCCACGCTTCATTCTGTCCTTTTTCCCACCCTCCTGCCAAAACCCATCTTGATCTCTCTGACTAGAAACTTCCAGGGCTCATTCTCTCCATCCCTGTTATCCTCCAATCTGCTCCATCTCCATCCCTTCTTTGTCCAACTTCCACTCATCTTCATGCCTCTGTTCATTTCCATTATAACTCTTATTCTCACATCTAACCTCCCGGTTCCGTTTTGGCCCCATTCATAAGTGTTTTATTTATTTTATAGAAGTGACTCGATGTGCACGAGTCATGGCTCGGTGCACACTCCATCATGGTTAAGGGTTTGTGGCCATTAAATGTGATGTTTACACCTTCACTATTTAACAGAGGCGATTCAAAGAAACCAAAAAATATGATCCATTTGGCTTTCCATACACTCTGCCTCTCTATTCCTTGCTCACTGACATTGATCACAAAGACCATGACATGGTCTGTAGGTCCAGTGGAGCCCATTATTAAAGTGACAGTGTGTATTTTCCTGGTGACAGGGGGCAGTACACACCTAAATCACTACAAGCTAGCAGCTATTTATGATCGATTAAGACCTCACCAACGGATAGCCATTAGGGTCAATAATCTCCAAACGAGTGATTGGTCAGATCGTTCAACCTCAGCAAAATGACCAACATACCAGACTCTCTTTCATCCCTGGCAACGAGTGAAGAGGCTAAAGTTGTAAACTAACGTTTATAAACGACAAACGTTTTGTATGTGTTTGTTACGTCTCAGTAAACGCATTTGTCCCTCACGGGCTCCACAGAAGGAAACATGGCGTTTAACATGGCGTCGCCCAGAGACTCAGACCCGCTCCCGTGTACTTTAGACCTGATTGTTGTCGTTAGGCATCGTTTATGTCATTTTCAACATTTTGATGGATTTTTCCAGAGATTAACGGTAAAAACTACACATTGTTACTTTAATCATTTTCTTTTGTGACGGTGAACAGATGGCAGTGGCAGATAATTTAGTTTGGCATCCTGCATTTGAGCCTTGTCTCCATGTGTGGATGGTGTGATGTGAATATCTGTTACTGTCCTGATCTAATCACATATGAGGGCACCTGCAGTTTGGGTCCTCTGTTCTGATGCAACCCTCTGGGCACAGGGCAGGCACTTCACTCCTCTGCCACCATCATCCTGGATCTTAATAAAAGTCCACACGTGACCTTTGTTCATTAGCAGCTAGCTAGGAGCTACTCAGCAGCTACTGAGGCCTGTGTGGCCTCCTGCATCCCAGAATGGTTGTAGTGTTGGTTGGGGGTTAGATCCCCTCCACAGTATATGAACTACTACGACTGAATTGGAGTTTGTTTGGAACAGAGGCCGGACGCCTTCCATGAGAGGAGGTTTAGACACATCCCAATGGAACGAGATCCGAGGTCAGACCCAGGACACGCTGGAGAGGTTTTATCTCACGGTCGGCCTTGGATTGGCCAGAAGTTCCCCTAAAAGAGTGAGAGGGGCTAACTTGGAGCGGGAGGTCTTGCGTTAAGCTACTGCCCCATGATCCAGTCAAGAACAAACAGCAGAAGATGGATGGAGTTGATCATCCATGAAACATCTCAGTACTGTGCTGTATGTACACATTTGGTGCAACCCCACCTGAAAACCTGCTCACTATCTAGAAAGTGTGTCTCTCACGAGTCAGTAACATCTGCATCCAAGCTGGCTCGCAGCAAACATGCTGCAGTAATGAACGGATGCTGAAGTGCGTGTGAACGTCTCCAGTCAACTAGCTGGGCGTGGCAACATCCTGATCAGAAACAGGGACTTTGAAGAAATCAGGACACAATGATGTGATGTACAAACAAAAAGAAATGTGAGCAGAAGTGAACGGGGCCTGGTGAAGCCCACAGAGAGCAGAATGCACCTGTAATTAGTCAGAGTACACCGCCAAGGAGAGCCTTGTGAAACAAAACCTGCCACCAGGTCCTGCTGGACAGGTGTGTGTCCTCTCTACATCACGCTGTCGGAAAGTCTAAATTCCTCG